TGTCCAACGGCAGGAGAAGCTATCTCCCGGATGGGAAGGAAAACCCTAAACCGTGATGGGAACTTACCGGCCCCATCAGCTACTGGGTACCCGGTAGGGGCTTGCAACCCTACCCTGTATTTGCATTTTATAGGGAACCGGTCGGCCCTATATCAGAGTAGACCGTTTATTGTATATGGGCACAATGATAAAGGATAAAAGCTATGGTTTGGTGTCCGTGGGGTGCCAGGGCGGCGGCCAAACCCGAGCTACTTGGCACCAACTGGGGATGGTAGCTTCCGAGCGATTCCGTGGCGACGAGGGACTCCAAACGTCTGGAATAGAGGAATTGAGAAATATCTATCCCACCAACAGCTCACATACCCAAGGTGAGCCCGGTGCAACAAGATTACAACCTATCTGGGGCGGTAGGTGCCGAACCACTCAGGTGGACGGCTTGTTTATTAATGTCTCCCCACAAGAGACAATTTGTGACGAGTCCACTTCGGTGGACAACTACCCGATTTGTGACAAAAATACCGATTTGAGACAAAATAAAAATCTGACAAAGATCTATTCAGCTACGCCTAGAGCTTCAGGCAGCACGTCTGTAAGTATCCAGTCATCGAGCGTGACTGAGGGCGGAATCAAAAATAATAAAAATCTAACAAATATCTAGTCGGCTACGCCTAGAGCTTCAGGCAGCTCGCCTGTAAGTATCCAGTCATCAAACGTGACTGATGGCGAAATTAAGGATAACTTTGAAACAGAGGAATTGATGAACATCTGTTTGGCTACGCCTAGAGCTTCAGACAGCACATCTGTAAGTATCCAGTCATCGAGCGTGACTGAGGGCGAAACTGACGAAAAGGCCACGCCTAGAGCTTCAGACAGCTCGTCTGTAAGCATCCAGTCATCGTGCGTGACTGAGGGTGAATGTCTGCCTCCTACAGACAACTGCAACCCGTCTGTAGAGAACCAGTTACCGTGCGTAACTGAGGATAGGTTTGAACGGGTAGGCTCACTTTCTGCCCTTCAGAAAGGTGGCATGTGACTTGTGTTCCAAAGAGTTCTTGGCATACTCGAAGTTTGCAGTCCATCAGGCAAACTTCCACAATTCAGAAACTCAGGCATGCTTCTCATATTGCGGTAAAAGTGATGGCAATCATCACGCAATAGCTTGTCACGTTCCAAAATGTCCCTGGCGGCGAACTGTTACGTTTGCTGCGAACTTGGGCAATTTCTCATGTGGTCTTTGCAGTGATAGTTTTAAGACCAAATCAGGGCTTTCACAACATAAGCAT